CTGACCTTGTGGTTCAAGCCTACTCTATAGTCCAGAGCCTTAACCTACAGCACCACACCAGGACGCTGCATCTACATTACCACACATAAAGTGTCCAAGGACACATTAAGTGACCCATAAAATCTCCAAATATTCTTTAAGACAAACACTTTACATGATACAATTGTACTCAGAAATGAAACATTCCTTAGGGGATAGTTTACTACTTTAAAATAAAAATAAACATAGAAGAATTTCTCCTTGGAGGAAATAAATCCATTTCACTCCACCTCTGACCCCTATCATAGCTGCCTACCAAGAAAGGAAATTGGTAAAACACATTTCATTTTATTTTCTTTGTACCCAAGAGAGCTGAACTATTTAGAGAGTGGAAGGCTGACAGAACAATTTTATTTAATGAAGAGCTCTGAGATTTCCAGAGACTCAGGAAAATTTAAAGATGTCCTCATTACTCTTCACCCTGTAAATATTTGACCCCCGTCTAGGTGAAAACCAAATTGGGTCTCCCAGAAACAAACCATGGAGATGAGAAACAGTTTCAGTAAGACTACCAGAAAGACTTAATGTGTCCCACTGAGGACTGGTAGAGGAAGAGGGGAAAAGAGGAGTAAAAAGATGCACTGGGCCACATCTCCCTGGTAAGGAGACTGAACTTGCCATATTTTTTTAGACAGGTGAACTCTCTGTGTTGAAAACTTTATTTTCTACAAGTCAGTCTTTTCCAGCTTTGAATCTGCTTCTTGATTGTCTTTAATAAATGTAGATCCTCTTTCCAAGCAGAGTTAGACAAGGGAAATGTTCATACCTTGAATGTGTTATCTGATTTAATCAGTTTTAACATTTATGTCTTATCTCCATCACCAAATATCAATTATTAACTCTCTTCTGTACATTTGAGATTGCTACTAAATTTCCTGGAGTACTGGTGTGGTACTGCGGGTTAATGCATTGGACTGCGAAGTTGGTTTCAACTGCAAGGTCAGTGGTTCAAGTTCACCAGCTGCTTCTTGAAAACCCTATACACAGTCAGTATGGGTCAGGACTGACTGGACAGCACTTAGCAACAACAACTACATTTCCTAGATCCTATAATGTATCTATTACATAATGGATGAACATCTATAATGCAGGAGGTCTTATCTATTTTGTTCCTAATGAGATAGTTTTTTTTTCCTATATATTTCCATATTTCTACACATGAGAGTATGTTAGCTTCTTTCTTTCTTTTTTTTAATATACAACCAATTTACTGGTAGTCCTTAAAAGTTATATTTAAAAAACATATATATTGTGAATCAGATGAAGGTTTATAGAATAGACCATTAGTTTTAAATGTGATAATCCACAAAGATTTTGTTTCAGCTCATTGATTACAAGCCCCTCCCTGTAGTATTACTCATCCTACTTCTTCCCTATGTCTGCAGTTTCCATTTCTTCTTTTCTAAGCCTTCTGATCTTTGTCACTAGGTAAATGTTGCCCTTTGCATCTAACGTGATTGAAACTCTAAAGTGTGTATACCTCCCGAATGTTTTGTTCCCCTTAGAAACTTAAGTATTATTTGGCTGAAAATGTAGTCGTGGAGGTGAACTTAGTTCCAAATCTGAAGAGTATGTAAAAGTGATAGTTTCTGGGTTCCACTAGTCTCTAGCCAGTTAGTAAGCCTAGTGTAGTCTATGATATTGAGTTTTGTTCCATTTTTCTTCCCCAGTCTATGAAGAGTTTTCTGATGTGGTTCCTTTGAGAGCAGTTGGTAGTGGGGGCCAGGCATCTTCTAGCTCTTCTGGTCTTAGGGTCATGGACACTGATGTTCACGTGGTCCACTAGTCCATTGGACAAATTGTTTCCATGCATTTTCAATTTTCATTGCTCTTCTTTCCTCAGAACAAGAAGAGTCCAATAGTTGTTCCTCAGATGATCACTCATGAGCTTTTAAGACCCCAGTTGCTACTCACCAAACTCAGATACAGAACATTGCCTTTGTGGGCTCTGTTATGTCAATTGACCATGGAGTCCCCTAAGACTATGTTATGCCACTTGATCACGCTATCCTGAATCCTCCATGCCCAGAGACTCATTCCCTCAATGTGTCTGAATATGTCAAAGAGGTTTTCATAACTGTGTCCCCTGTAAGTCTCACCAAATTCATGGATATATTTGCAACAGAGGTAAAATACTTATGCACAAACATCCTCTGTTAAACCTTTATATATATATATATATATATATGTAAATATATTCCCACTTTCCCTTAAACATCTGTTGACTCAGAATTTTTATCCATGCATCTACCTGCAGCTCACTGCCATGGCAGTACTATGTATGTAAAATATTTACTTGTGTTTCCTTTTCTCCTTAGTGTCCATAATATCATTTTCAATTAGTATGATTCTAAGGTTTTACTACTCAGATTCATTTCCTTTAATCATTTTGAATGTTCAGGAGATTTATTAAAGTAGGAGTAAATTGTCTTGGCCTATTCATGGATTAAACTAAAATATTTGTGTTTTTATACGGATTATCCAGTTGACTATGGTTTTTAAACAGCCACTCACTATTAGGTTAAAGTAACAACCTCTGATTCAAAAGTAAACAAAATCTACCTATGTAAGAGACATCAAGAATTTATATCAAATCCTCTATTTGCAGAGCTCACAACCTAAGCCTTTATTAGCCTTCATTCTCTGGTCTCCACCTTTACTGGCCTCTCAAATCCCTTCTAAATTCACTGTGCCATAGGGCAAACTCACCTTGTTACCTAGTCCATTATGCTCTTCCTTTCCTTACTTCTTCTGACTGGCAAGTCTACTGACTGGCAATTCTACCTTCTTTCTTTCTCAGCTCACATAATGCAATTCCAGAGAAGCTTTTCCTTCTCACATCCCCAGACTAAAATTTAAATCCTAAATTATATGTTTGTCTTTTTAACTAATTATTATTCTTTATTTATAAATAGGAGTCCTGGTGTGGTGCTGTAGGATAAGTACTAGACCTCAAGGTCAGTTTTAATCACAAGGTTGGTGTTTCAAACCTACCAGCAGCTCATCGGAAACCCTATGCATGGTTGCTCTGAGTCAAAATTGACTCAACAACAACAATTCATAGATAATACTATTTTTCTTTTTGTAGAAAACATAAGCATTTATTTTCAAATCTTAAGTGTGACTTTTAATTTCCTTTAGTACAATTTGTTGCATAGAATCAAATTTTGGAAATATTATCCATCCATCACTTCTTCCTACACAAACAGATCTGTGTTGGAAACAGTGCAGCCAGAGTGCTTCTTGGAGGCCAGGATGGCCAAACTTCATCTCTCATACTTCAGACATATTGTCAGGAGGGACCAGTCACTAGAGAAGGATATCATGTTTGGTAAGGTGGAGGGTCAGAGAAAAAGAGGAAAACCCCTAGAGAGATAGATCAACAAAGTAGCAGCATCAATGGGCTCAAGTGTGGCAAAAATTATGAGGTTGGCCCTGGACTGGGCAATGTTTCGTTCTGTTGTGCAAAAGGTCCCTATCAGTCAGTACTGACTCAATGGCACTTAACAACAACAACAACAATCACATTATTTATAATCATCTTCACTGATTTTTAATATAATGCATCTTCACCAAACAGCAAGTACATATGAGAATACACTCAAACTTGACTTGCACTTGATTCGCATATTTACGTGCTTTGATTTTCTCCTCTTATCTACTTAGACCACATGCCCTTTCCTTTTCTTAGAGGAATCCATCTGTCAGGTGGTCTCTGAAAGATGGTGCAAAGGGATCTTCTACATGAGGGCCAAAAGAGTAATAGACTTGTTGTGTTACAATGATCACAGTTCCAGCCTTGACGGCTGTCCAAGTATAAAAATAATATTGATAGTCAACATGTAAGATTCATTGTAATGATTTGTTGTTGTTGTTAAGTGCCGTCGAATCGGTTCCGACCCATAGCGACCCTGTACAGGGTTTCCGAAAGTGTAAATCCTTACGGGAGTAGAAAGCCTCATCTTTCTCCCGCGGAGCGGCTGGTAATTTCGAACCGCTGACCTTAAGGTTCGCAGCCCGATTCGTATGTGATAAAAAATATAATTCATGATTGTCAAGTACTTGCTCTTTGTCATAGGCATCACACTGAAAAATGGCACATGTATAATCTCATTTAATTCACTTATCAACCTCATCACGTGGGAAATATTTACTGCTCTCACTGGAGAGGTGAAGTATCTGAGAATAACGAATTGTCTCAAGGTTACACACATAGTAAATTGGTAGAGTTAAAATTCTATTCCAGACATTATGATTCAAAAATTCATCTTTGAAATGATAGCTTTATACTGTATCTTGGGAGAATTATAAACCCAAAGTAATTACCATAAAGAGAATAATAATGCTAATTTTTGTTTTTGTGAAGTGCTGTTAGTTGGCTCATAAAGCCCCTGTCTAGGGTTTCTTTCAGGAGAGTGATTGACAGGTTTGGACTGTCACCTTGTGGTTAGCAGTGCAGTGTTTCTCCTACATTCTCTGTTCACAAAGGCATTTCTAAAGCTCACCAAGAAGGTCATGTTAATGATGAAATTTAAAAAAACAAAGGAATAAAGCACCAGCAGTTAATTGTCACATCAATAGAAAGTGTTCAGCTACTTTTAAGACATGGATTTTCAACTCACATGACTAACAGAGAGATTCCTGAAATGAAGGTGGTGTTGGTATTAAAAGGGAAAAAGACATCAGAGTTCCCATAAGATGTTTGAAATTGGCCTGAAAGGATAATACCAAAGAAGAAATTGGTATGTGTTCATAAAGTAAAATAGAAGAACTAGAACCAATGAATAGATGCTAAAAAGAGACATTCTACATTTCTGCTAAATAAGAGTGAATAATTATGCACATATAAAGGACTCAATAACAAATCATAGGGGAAATTCTAAGGTGATGACTAGTTGAGATGCCACTTGACTATTCATCAAATGTTGCTTTTATCTTCTTCTCCAACCTCTACAAGCTACATGGAGACAGACAACCAAACAAAAGTTTCAGAATTTCTCCTGATGGGCCTCTCAGAGGAGCTTGAATTACAGTCTTTCCTTTTTGGACTCTTTCTCTTCATGTACCTACTCACTGTTCTTGGAAACCTGCTCATCATCCTGGCCATCAGCTCTGACTCCCACCTTCACAACCCTATGTACTTCTTCCTGTCAAACCTGTCCTTTGTTGACATCTGTTTCATCACAACCACAGTTCCTAAGATGCTGGTGAACATTCAGACACAAAGGAAAGATATCTCCTACATAGGATGCCTTACTCAGGTATACTTCTTTATGGTTTTTGCTGGATTGGACAATTTGCTACTGACTGTGATGGCCTATGACCGGTTTGTGGCTATCTGTCACCCCCTGCACTACACAGTCATTATGAACCCACGGTTTTGTGGCTTATTGGTCCTGATGGCATGGGTCATTATTTTCTGGGCCTCCCTGCTTCATATTCTACTCATGATGCACTTGAACTTCTGTATAGCCACTGAAATTCCACATTTCTTCTGTGAACTGGCTCAGATGATCAAAGTAGCTTGTTCTGATACCTTCATCATTAACATCATCATGTATGTGATGACTGCCCTGTTGGTTATGTGTCCCCTCACTGGGATATTATTCTCTTACTCTCAGATTGTCTCCTCCTTAATGAAAATGTCCTCTGCTGGAGGCAAATATAAGGCATTTTCCACCTGTGGGTCTCACCTCTCTGTGGTCTCCTTGTTCTATGGGACAGGCCTTGGGGTCTATCTCAGTTCTGCTGTGACTCATTCTTCCCAGAGAAGCTCTATTGCCTCAGTGATGTACACTGTGGTCACACCCATGCTGAACCCCTTCATTTACAGCCTAAGAAACAAGGATGTGAAGGGAGCCCTGGGGAGGCTCTTCAGTAAAGCAGCCTCTTGTCTGTGATTGTAACTTGTCTCAGGACTAAACAGACCCATGCTATCCAAAGTCAAATGCCATGAATTTAAATTTTCTGATTCTTTTTCTTCTCCCAATGGTATTCATTGTTTCTTCTATTGCAAAAACACCTATGCCTTTGTTATCTTATTGATATTCTATGATTTTTCCTCAGCTCATTCTTCATGAACTCCTCTTGACTCCTCTTTCCTATATGCTTTCCATGAAGTTTTTTCTGGGATCAGTTTTCTAACTGCCATTCCTGAAAATTCCAACATGGGAAAATTTGAAACATTATCATGGCAAGTACTGACAGAGCTTCCTCAAATGATAATCTCTCAAACATTTATGCTTTTCATCTTCATCTGGTTATGTGTGTGTGTGTGTGTGTGTATGTTTTTTTTCCTGGTAAGAAAGAAAATTTAAATTATACTAAAGTCATAATCACTTAGTTGTTGCCATTTCTGGACTGTGCTCACTGCTTTACTTATGAATCCATCAGGTATGATTTCTCAATTTTTTATTGTGAATTGGGTGTAGGTTTACAAAGCAGATCATCAGTTTTACAGTTGACATGTCATATACATTTTGATTCATCTCATTGATTGCAATTCTCACTCTGTAATAGCACTTTCCCCCTACTTTCCTGTGTTTCTTCTTTGCATTTATCCTTCTTTCCTAACTGTCTCAACTTTGTTACTAGATAAATGCTATGCTTTTCATCTCAGATAGCTGATTATTCCAAGGTGTGCATACCTCACTAGTGTTATTATCCCCCTATAGACCTATCCATTTCTTGGTTGAATATTGAACTGAGGGATTGAGTTCAGTTCCAAACCTGAAAGATGCTTAAGATTCATAGTCTTTATCTGATGAGCAAGTCTTGTGCTATTTTGTGATTTTGTTGTTACACATTTTTTTTTTTTTTTAACCACTCTATACAGGATCTTCTAATGTGATCCATTTCAGAGTATTTGGTGGAGATAACTGGACACTATCTACTCCTGATCATGGAGACTGATGTTCACATGGTTAGTTAGTCCAAGGAATTAATGTTTCCATGTGTCTTTGGTTTGTATCACCTTTCTTTCCCTGGACAGTAGAGAACTACAGTTACACTTTATATGACCACTCAAGAGCTTTTAAGATCCCACATGATACTGACCAAAATAGGATGCAGTCCATTGTCTTTGTGGACTATGTTATGCCAATTGGACATGGTGTCCCTTGAAACTCTGGTATTGAGCCCCCAGACCCAATGACTTATTCCTTCATGGTATTTGTTTATGTCTAAGAAGTTTTCATTACTTTGCCCCTGTATGCTACATCACATTCATGCTTGTATTTGCACAAAGTTCCGCATAAAATTATCCTGTTAAACCTTTATAAATTTGTGGGTGTATTGCGACTCTCCCACTCACAACAATTCAGCCTGCATTTGTACCCACACATTTAGTCCAAGATCACATTATTGCAGGATTCATCATGTATGGTTTTATGTATGAAATCCATATATATGGTATAATCCAATAATGATAACATTTAGTTGAGATGTTTCTTCACTCACCCCAGTTTTCAGAGGAAGAGTCTGATGTGGGGATAGAATGAAACTTGACAGTCTATCATTAAACTCACGCTCTTAATTTTACTGTTCTAATTTTCATAAGGAGCTCTGGTAGCGTAGTGGTTACGAATCGGGCTGCGAACCTTACGGTCAGCGGTTCGAAACTACCAGCCGCTCCGCGGGAGAAAGATGAGGCTTTCTACTCCCGTAAAGATTTACACCCTCGGAAACCCTGTACAGGGTCGCTATGGGTCGGACCCGACTCGATGGCACTTAACAACAACAACAACAACAATTTTCATAAGAACAATTATGTTGTTTTCAGTTTAAAGGGTGGGAATCTAGATTTGATATATTTATTGTTTCAGATGAATTATAGTAATATACTGCCTTGGGAAATCTGAAATTTGATTCATTTCTGTGTTCCTTCCTTGCTTTTGTCTTCTTTTCTTTACTTTTTCCCACTGTTTATTTTCCTTTACCTTCATTTGTCATCTTTGATGTTGAAAATATAAACCCCTAATATCCTAAAAAGGAGCTCTGGTAGTATAGTGGTTACAAATCGGGCTGTGAACCGCAAGGTCTGCAGTTCGAAACTACCAGCTGTTCTGCAAGAGAAAGATGAGGCATTCTGCTCCCATGAAGATTTACAGCCTCAGAAACCCTGTACAGGGTTGCTATGAGTCGGAACCAACTCCACGGCACACAGCTGCCACCAAGATCCTAAAACATGTAATAATATATGAAATATGCAGAGTAAGAGTTGTTCTCTCACATGATTTAATTTTCCGAGTCTCTGGAGGTGTCATAAGGAATCGAAGTTACACACTTGTGAGATGCATTCATAATCACTTTTGAAAGAGAATATTTTTGGTAAAATTACTTCCCAGAGATGTGTGGAGTAATAAACACTGTCCATGCTTCTCCTATGTTTCCTGGAACCCTCTCACCATCTCCTTTACAAATCAGCCTGACTGACACTAGACAGCACCAGATAGTGTTTATGTTAGTGACTGGGAATTATGTATCTCCAGGGGCAATCGTTCATTGAAAGGTGTGGGTTTTACCACCTTACAGAAGATAGTTCTGAATTGAGTTTTGAACATTTTCCAAAATTCCCACACATGCTGAAAACTTTACTCACTGTTGTAGCTGATTTAATGCAAAAGTATGAATTTTCTTCCTGTGTAACTTTGCCTCCCTCCTGTACACAGTTCTTGCTACTTCAAGTAAATCGTTTGCACTCAGCTCAAGTCTGTTTCTGGGTGAACCCAAACTATGACAGCTTATAAAAACTTTGAGATATATTAAGAGAGTCATGAAAGGCACTATGAACTTTGGTACCAAAACAAAACAAAAAGACAGAAGAAATTTACTGAGAAATCATAATTTGTTCATGAGAAAAGATTTGTTAAGCATGCCTTTAATTTATTCTAAATGCGTTAAGTTAAATCAAATGTGTTTTAATTATTTAATATGTATAAATTGAGGAGGAAAACAGAAAGGTAATTTAAACAGAACAATTGCAATCAGAATAATAAGCATAATTATATTGATGCTTATAGATAATGTTTTTTAAAAAGCAAGCAGATGATTTAAAGTTATGGCAACTTCACAGAAAACTTTCTGAAAATTTATTTTTAGTAACTTTATTGAGATATAATTTACATGAAGATGATGCATTGCTGTATTCCAGTGGCTTAAGTAAATTTGTTTAGTTGAACAATTGTCCCTATGGTCCGGTTTTAAGAAGTCAAATACTGCAAAGAGAGAGCATTTGATCTGAGGAATCTTGGATTTTATTGACCACTTGGCTTTCCCAATGACTCAGAAGTTGGGAAGCATTCCAGGTTTCATCAATTTTTTTCTATAAATATTTTATAAAGCAGTATTTTCGATTGTTTTCCTAGTTTCCATCAGTAACCACCTCCTTTCAATAACTATGTAACAAACAGGAATCTAATGATTGTGTCTTGTTGCTTTCTGTTCTTCAATATTGAATGGTTTATTAAAACAAACTTAGGAGATCTGAATATATCCTATAAGATAAGTTATCTAAAAAGTACTTTTCACTGGATATGCTTACTAACAATATTTGGAAAAATAATAGAAAACCCAGCTATTTATAAACATGTAACTAGTGTAGAGAGAGAATGCATGGCCTATTTGTTTTATTTTCAATCTCTGTAAATCTTAGGATTCCAGGCGATTGATCAATACTTCCACGGTATAGAAAGAATGTTTATAGAGATTCTACTATGTTTATGGGAGTACATTGGCTCTGCAGGATAAACACTGGATTTTGAAGCACAAAGTTGGTGGTTAGAACCCACCAACCTCTCCAAGGGAGAAAGATGAGTCTTCTGCTTCCGCAAAGATTTACAGTTTAATTAATTCTAGTAGCGTAGTGGTTACGAATCGGGCTGCTAACCTCAAGTTTCGGCAGCTCGAAACTACCAGCGGTTCCGCGAGAGAAATATGAGGCGATCTGCTTCCGTAGAGATTTACAGCCTCGGAAACCCTGTGCAGGATCCCTATGAGTCCAAACCGACTCCAAGGTACTTCACAACAAAAACATACAGGGTCACTATTAGTTGGAACCAACCTGATGGTACTTAACGACCACCACTACCACAACTATGTTTTCGGTACTGGAGACAAAGTTGTGAGGGAAATAGTTCCTATTCAAACTCACCAGCCACTTATTATAAACCATATACAGGGTCCTGAGAGTTGGAACCAACTCGAGACAGCACTTCAACATCCTTAATGAGGAGTCCTGGTGTGGCATTGTGAGTTAATGCCCTGGACTGCAAGGTCAGTTTAAACCGAAAGGTTGGTGGTTCAAGCTCACTAGTCGCTCCTAGGAAACACTGTACAGGATCATTATGAGTTGGAACTGACTCCACAGTACTTAATCACAACAGCAATCCTTAAAGAGGAGTACTGGTGTGGTGCTGCAGGATATGAATTGCAAGGTTAGCTGTTCAAATCCACCAGCTTCTCCTCAGAAAACTCTATATATGGTCACTATGAGTCTGAACCAACTCAAGGTAGTTAACAACAACAATCTTTAAAGAGCTTACAGTCTAGTGGGGAGAAAGAAAACAAGCAAGTAAACCAATGAAAACATTTCAATTATGGAGAGTAATATACAAAAAATGGAGTCACATAAAACTTTGAACAAAGATTGTGTTTAATATGATTCCTCAACAGTCTAGACAGGTGGTTCTCAGCCTTAGCAACGCTATTTTGGGTTGGACAATTCTGTGCTGTAGGGAACTTTCATGTGCATTATGAGCTGTAGGAAACTTTTATGTGCATTATGGCCACTTACCCTAGATGCTAGCATTTTATTCCTCAATTGTGACAACCAGAAATGCATCAGATATTACCAGTTTTCCCTTAGATGGCAAAATCACTCTAGTTGACAACACTGATCTAG